TAAATGTTGTAAAAATGAAATTGTAATTAATTAACTTAAATGATTTCAATTGAATTTTATACGTCTTTATCGATTTTGTAAAAGAAAAATATATTTATGATTAAAATTTATAGATATACACGAAATAGATATACACAGTTAACTGACTTTTAGGCAGGATCTTGGAAAAAATAACGCTGGAGATTTTTACCCGAATCCGGCTAACACTTAGGAGCCCGTAGTTGTTTCTACCCCCATAAATTAATGTTTGTTTTGTTTTAGGAAAAAATAATACAATCTTTGAGACCAATTTTGATTAATAAGAAACATTTAACATAGTGATACCTCGGTTTTCGTCGATAAGAGTCCGAAAACAATCGACAAAATCCGAAACCGATGAAAACCGAGGCAATTACTTCCATACGAATCAATTTAAATCCAGTTAATTCGTTCTAGACACTCCAATATACATACCAAAAACACACTTTTTAGATAAAAAAAATATAGTGTTTAATACTAAAAACAATAATAAATTAATATAAAATGAATATAAAAGACTAATATGATGGCCTCCGAAACAGAATTGCCATCTAACTGTTTTTGTTTGATCCAAATTAATAATAACTATTCGACATCTTCAATTGTTTGCGATCTCTGTTTCGTTAGCACATTCACACCTTTCGCTACATTAGCCTCCTTTACTGCTTCCTTTTCTGCCACAATACAACTTATCGTGGATGAGGAGTTTCCGTACATGCGGCCGATTTCAGCAATTTTAATGTTGCTCTAGTAATTTTCAATGATTTTCTTCAACTCGATCGTGTTCCTGGCCTTTTCTTTCGAAGAGCTACTGGCTCTGGAAACTTTCTTTGGTCCTATGATGGAGCTGAAAGGAAAGGAAAGCAAAGGAATTGTTTGGCTAGACGCACGGAGTAATGCTCAAACAACGAGAAATAACGCCACACTGAGCAGGAAAACGCGTGGGTCGCCCTTTGTTTACACAAAATTAGCAGCGAAGTCACGTGGACACGCCGACGAAAACCGAGACAAATTTTTCGTGGAAAAAATCGACGAAAACTGAAACCGACAATAACCAAAGTTAACGAAAACCGAGGTATTGCTGTATTTTATTTGCTCAAACAAAATTGGCGAAAGGGGCCCGCTCTAAACTAATACAAGGCTTCCGGGCTCCATGCAAGACCCCAACTGTCCTGCATTTGGGCAATCCTGTAAGGATTTCGTTTATAATTATATAAAACTATATATTTTATACTATAAATACACTATAAAGTCTTTAATTTCAAAAACACTTTCAATAAAATCAGTTTTATCAATTGAAAAATAGTATCTAATAAAACTAATTGTTTAATTATCTTTGTCATATTTTACCTTTACATAAAGGAAACAGGATAAAGTTATTAAATAATATTTAATTCAACAAGGTTGAATGGATGGTTACTTACCCTTCTGCATTTTTATACAGAATTTTTATTTATTTAATATTATAAAAGGTATATTTATTTTAAAAGAATCAACAATGCCATAAATTAAAAAGAAAAAAAAATTGTATCCACTCTGTTAGATGAATACATGAATCAATATTGTGTAAATATCTTGCCTTACCTACCATTAACCTGTCAACAAAATAGATTATCATATATCAAATTTAAAATATACTAATAAATAAATTGCCTTTATATATTTATTACAAAGTAGTAGATAATATCCTTTTATATTAGTTATTTATTGGAATAAAATATATATTGTGATAAATAATTCATGAATAAAGTTGTATATGCTACAAATTACAAATCTGAGTGTACTTTTAAGTCATTACTTTCTGATATAAATAGGGAACTAAAAATATTAATAGTATTTTAATTGTTTGATTTGATATATATTCTTTATATTTTAAGTTCATAATTGAAAATTACCTACTTGAAGCTCCACTGTTTAGAAAGTTCATAAAAAAACATTGTGTAAATATGGCGAAAAAATAAATAACAGAAAATATAACTTTAAATCAATTATTAAACTATATTTGCGACTAATTTCTGTTAGAATTTTTATATTTTTAAATTTTACTCTTTCAATTGAAGTTCCTTTACATGAAAATTGTCTTTAAAAGATAAAGATAGGCTAAATTAATTTAAAGTTATATTTGATACTATATTAAAGTCTTTTACTGAATTTTTGATCCAATATTTTATATTTTAAATTTTATTTTCACAATTGAAGACTATCTGCTTGAAACTATTTTACAAAAAAATTCAAGAAGAGCAAGATTTACAATAATTATTACTTATTATTATCTGCTTATTACAAATATTGAAAAAATATATATTAATAATGATTTTAAACTTATATTTACTAATATACAAAGTTTTCTAATGGAATTTTTTAAAAAATTTAAAATTTTAATTTCATTCTTGGAATTTTTTAAAAATCCAATATATACAAGTCCTAAATATAATTTATCATGTACAAAAATTAAAAAATGTATAAATAAATTAAATGTTAATTATCAGCAAAAAATAATAGAAAATATAACAAATAAATTAATTAAATCCATTAACTATATGTAAACATTAATGTTAATTAAATCGTTATTTTGGACTGGTCTTTAACAAGAGATAAACGTCAAATGGTATTTGTTTGGGCTATTGCATCAATGAGAGAATAAATGATCTCTTAAGTCCATTCAGGAATGTTGATAATTTCTATAGAACAATAGAATTAATTTGGAAAAAAGAAAAAATAGTTTTAATACAAGTGAAAATTTAAATTATGTAACTTTTCTCACCTTTTATTCTATAATTTATAAAATATAAAATACATGATTTACTATTCTTTACCAAGATTGATTATTCAAGTTAATATCAATTATTCAATGAGAAAACGTAATAAAATATGTTTACAATTTATTCAATTCATTATCAATAACGGTTCTGAATTGAAGGAAATATATTTAAAAAATTTAAATGAGCTAATTTAGCATAAAAAAATGCGTTTTTCAACCTTTACTCATTCAACATAGAGAATGAATTGAATTAGTAGATCGCAATCTATAGATTGGGAATAAAATAAGTTTATATACAGTTTATAATAGTTAATATAAGTTTTAATTTTCAATAAAATAATTTCTCATATTTACAAGTTGAGAATGATTATATGTAACGATAGATAAATAAATAAAGAAGGTAAATTTTGTATATAAATTTGTTCACAATTACTAACGTAAGAATTTTTTAATTATTATTATTATTATATATATTATTATCCTTTTAAGTTCTTTTTAATACTAATGGATTTAAAGGAATTTTGACAATTTTATTATTAAGTTGAATACGTTATAAATGCTTGTTACTAGTATTTACTCAATAATTTAAATTCCCATTCATTAATATTCAACATATGATACAATTACTAATATCGTCTTTAAAATATTATTACATAACATAAACATTAAAGTTACGTAATTTTAAATAGGAATCTTTAACAATTTTTTAAAATTTCATATCTAAAACATAGAATTATTTTTTAAATATTTAATAATTAT